AAAACTTAAGTTAAGGAACAAAAATCTAGATAAAAAATAGAGGAACGATTAATAAAGTAAAAGGCATTAAGGCTTTTTCGGAGTAATTATAAAAACGTAACAAACGTCCGATTATTTATGAAAGTAAATTATTTTTACTGCAGGTAAATTTATTGTTTTAAAATACTCATTTACGATTTGATTTCTCTTGAAAAGTCCAAAACAACTTGGTTTGTTTACGACTATAAAACAAAAGTCTGCAAGACTAAAGAAAGAAGAAACATACATGTTTTATTGTAAAAACAAGACGACACAAAAAAGACTTCGAAGTTACCTTCTGCGTAACTCTATAAGAAATAGAGTTCGTGATTGGGAGGATTAGTCTCGGCAATAAAAGTCGACAATTCCTTTTCATCTTTCGGTGAAAGAACTGGAGTGTACATAAAAACTTTTTCCCAGAGAAAATAGTTTGTATGTAGCTCTTGAAGCAGGCAGAAAAAAACAGTTTTTTTGAAATGAAAGATGTGAAGATAAATAAAAATTTCTGGCAGCACAAATTTTCTATGGCCCTCTGGGAATTCTTACTGGCACCTTGTCATCCTCCTTAATTTTCAGCCATTTGTCATGACGCCTGGGAGAATCAAAGAATATTCTGGAACGAAATGTATTTTTGAGTGAGATGAGAATATAACTATAAAAAAGCACTAAAAAAATGCGATTTCACTTGTTGACAACAAATTTATATTCTTCTTCATTTCGCCTTTGTTTCCCCCAGCGCTTGCTTTTAAATATATGTCAGCTGGCGTGTTTTAAATATTCATTTATGCTCTTTTTCCCAAAAAAATGACTAGAATGATTACTTTTAAAATTGTTACCTCAAATTTAAAAAAGTATGAGCAATGATGTTTCTTATTCAGCAATTAAATATTATATAAAAAATAAATGCATTGTAAGTACAGCAATTTTTGATGTTTAGGTAATTTGAATGCAATTTTTAATACAGAACTCTGTAGTTATTGTGCAAAAGTTATAGAGAGCTGAGAAAATAGCATTCGCTTGAAAGAATTATTGCAAATATAATATTAAAATTTGCTAAGTTTTAAGTTAAAAGTTTTTGCAATGGAGCTATAAATTGATTCGAAATCTCATGTAAATATGAGTTATCAGTAAACAAACAAACGAAAAACGAATTAATAAATGCATAAAACTTTAACGGTTAAAAAGTATGCAAAACCTCTGACTACACGTACAGTAAAAAATGTACAAAAATGGTAGCAGCTTTACACCAAACATTTTTATAGTGTAATTAAATTTATAGTTTAAATCATATACGTCCTCGTAAATAAATCTCACTATTTTTGCAGATCAGAATTTTTGGAATTTCTTTCATAAAAATCAGTGATTCTTGAAGATATATGACTTTTTTTAAATATTTAATAAAATTGCTTCTTCTTTCACGTGTCACCTCATTGCTTTCTGAAAACTTTTATCTGGTTTTAAAATAATTTACTCGTATGGCAGGAAAATAAAACGGTTAGAGCACTTGCTTGACTAGCAGTTCTTCCAGGAGGGGGATCAATTTTTGGCTAATATGTGATGCTAATACGTTCAATTTATCTAAAAGAGTTGCATGAAACAGCAAAAAAATCACTCCAAATCTTTTCATGAAATGCGTAACATCAAACAAATTATAATTGTAATCAAATCTTCAGTTTAACAAAATTTTAATTTAAGGAATTTACCAAGAAACGTTTTTTCCGAAAACGAAAAGAGTTTCGTGAATTGTAATATAGTTACTGGTATTTACTACTTTAAAGACGTATTTAATAAGTTTTAAAGTCTCAAAATGAAATTGTCTCAAAAACTATAAACTTGGCTAATCAATCTTAATTTCGACTTTTGTTTAAATTTTTCAGACCCTCTGCTCTCTACCACCCACAATAATTCAGGATTTGCATGCAATTTTTGGGTCTTGCTCATCTTTCGTGTGTTTTTCCTTTTTTTCGAACGTGAACACTTTCAAATGTAGAAAAAAAACTACAAAAAACGAACAATATGCACTGAAAACATTTTTCCCTTTGAACTATATTTAAGGAACTCAAATCTATTTCCCTTACATTTAAAAATATTTAAAAGCAATATTTCTCTGTCATCACAACAATTTTAGTAAATTCAAACATGAAATACAGCTTTTACGCGAAGTTAGACTTTTATTCTAAAATTACGGTAATGTAACCGGTTGCAGTCTGTCCAGCCGATTAACCCTAAAGTTTATGTTTAAGAACATTTCTTTGCTTACTGTTTTAAAACCGTTAACAACTGGTACTGTTATGAAACCGTGAGTGCTAATCTATACGGTTTTTTAACCATTTATAACCAGTATAGTTTCTGAACCATAAGAATAAAAATTACAAAGGCATCGGAGCTCTATGGGTATTACGTCATTTATTCATGAATGAAAGTTTCGTATTCTATTAGTTAAGGGTCACCAATCGAAGATTGCAGGATACTAGTAACGCTTCATATATTGAAGAAATTGACAAAATATCGTGGTAACAAGCAAGAATTGCAACCCTTGTTTAGCCGGTCAAGAGATTGAACAATTAGCTTTTTCAGCTACTGTGTGTACCCTGCTGCATGAATCAAAATGCCTTCATAAGGTGGGCCTAATTCGCACGCATTGAATTCTGGTTGTTAAATCGTATTAGATAAAAAAAATCAAGAAACATTTTTTTCTCGCACTTAACAGCTTGAATTGGAGTATTATTTTGTATGGAAAATCTAACTGTTTTGGTAGAATATGGTATAATAACAAATATAAATTTCTATTTAACCATTTTTGCCGAAACATTTTTAACAGTGCAGTATTTCGTTTCTTATTAAATAAATAGTAATTTTCCCGTTTTCTATTTCTCTTTGAAAACACAAAATGTTTTCTCCTCATATTTAATGAACTAATAAATAATAATATTAATACCAACTATAAAATAGTAAAAAATAAATTATTAAAGCAATAAAAACATTTCAAATTACGGCTGTTCTGTCTTATAATCAGTGATTTAAAAATTTAACAGCTAGGTTGAAAATTTAACTTACGACATCAGCTTATTGTCATGAATTTAATTTTATTAAGAAATAATATGTTAACTAATATTAAAGCAGGATTGTCTGATAGAATAAAAACGAAAAACAAATTGAAACTTTTAATTTCCTAAATAGGTGAATTTGGAGTTTTAAAGATTACAAGTTCTATTATAATATGTACAAATTTATTTATTTAAAAGAACTTCGAACGATTGTAGCCGCGTTCATAAATTTTATTAATATTCTGCTATTGAAATTTAATATCTCTCTATCTTTTTTGAGTAATGAAGATTTATGTTACTTGCATATCAAAGATTAGTTCATAGATTCAAAGATTAGTTCATTAGATTTTCTTTATCTCGCAAAAAAGAAAATAGGCACAATTCATAGAATGTTTATGATGTGTATGGATTAGAATTTAGTAAAAAAAGAGCCAACATTTTACACCGTTTATATTTCAGTAAATAATCATTTTAGCAACAGTAATTAATTTTGAAAATGAAAAACATTTATTAGAATAGCATATTATAATTCATCTTCATATAATTCCAATTTAAACAAAATTACAAATCACTTCATCCCAGTTTTCTTCTATTTCTAAGTTAGTCAGAAAACAATATATGTATATACTTAACAACGTCCCACTCAAATTTATTGATAAAATTTAGAAAGTTATGGACAAGTAACAACCAGAAAATTTTATAACAGGAATTCCGTTCTGTTTACTTCCATTAGGTTCGCAAAGAACTTAGAAATTACAATAAAAAAATTGCAGAATAAGTAAATTAACTTACAGCTAGCGAAGAAGACGAAATACGAAATTAATCCAATAGATCAAATTGACAATAAAATAAAAAAGAAATGATTGCTAAGTAAATGACTATTAAATTGAAATAAAGAGAAAAATGTACAAAGTAAAAAATTCCCGTTTTTTCATATCTTCCACCATCTAGTGGTTTAATATAATCTGTTTTGTTGACACTACAGTTTCTTACCCTAATCATAAAAGGACTAAAACCATCAGTTAAAATTCTAAATTTTTCCATACAATTTTGCTTCCCGTACAATAACTTTCCCTATTCGGAAATCATGTTATCATAATTTTTAGTACCTGCTCTATTTTCATAAAGATGACCCAGTTTAAAGATTTTTTCTGATTGAATATTATTTTTAAATGCAAGAGTTTTAAGGAAAAAATAGTTTCAGATTTTCCGTCATTATAAAACTCTAGAGCCGTGGCTCAGGCTGAGGAAGGAAATTGCTCACCTCAGGTTAGAGTCACAGTGCAGTTAGAATATCCATATCTGGTTACAAGTATAGAATTACATAGGAACTTTCAAAAATCTATAATGACTACGCAATTTTTTCGTAATAATTTAATTAGTAGTGAGAAAATAACTTTTTCCAGTATGACAAGAAAAAAAAAAGAATTTGAGGTTGTGGATATATTTTGCAAATCTGACGTTTTTGCACATCCTGCAAAGCTGCCAATTAAGAGCCATTAATTTCTCTGGATATTTCTTACAATGCTTGACGAACAATATCGCATACATCAATACATTGCTCTTGAAAGAACGGTATATTTATTCAGAAAACGATACTATCGTGTCTAATTTCGTAATTGAAAATAAAGTCTGTTCAAACTGATTAGCAATATTTGACTCTGGAATAACTAATATTAGCAGGTCAGTGCATTGAAAATTTGATAACCAGATCAAAAGGTGGTAGAAAAGCATTTTTTTAAAAATTTTGCTAATAATATTTTTGATTAAATATGTATTTTTAACACCTCAACTTACTTTTTACTTTTCTATAATAGATACTATATTAATAGCTTATTACATATTTTGATTTGATAAATTATTGATAGAAACATAAAAGTCTTTGCTACTTTGAAAAAAATATATTCGTTGATTGATTTTTATTTTATTTTGTAGCACTTCGAGGAGCTTCCAATCTTCCAGTTATGGTATACATACATGGAGAATCTTACGAATGGAATGCGGGCAATCCATATGATGGAAGAGTTCTGGCAAGCTTTGGAAATGTCATTGTTGTCACAATCAATTACAGGCTTGGAATTTTAGGTATTGTCTTATCTAGATATAATATCCATATGGTCGTTTTTTATACATTTAATTCATGAACGATATAATAATTCTCTTTTCACAAGGTTTATTTCTGGAGAGAAATAAATGAATAAATTAAAAATTTATGAATGGAGAAGAACAAATTAAAATTATTTAAATAGGATTTTTGTCATAAGACGAAGTCATATAAATATTTTTAGTAAAAGTAAATAAATGTTTAGTATATTAATAAAAATAAATAAATATCTTTTTTTGCTGTCAGACTTGTTTTATTTGTTGAATTTATACTTCATCTTAATTATTATAACTAGATATATTATATATGTATATATACATAGGTTTGGTTTTTGTAATAATTTGATAATTTTATATTTCACAATGATGTAACTATATTTCTTTTTCCTAATAATTTTAAATCAGGGCTCCTTTCTGGAAATAAATAAAACGTGTTTTATTTGAATGCGTTTTCATGTCTAGAGTTAAATAAATAAAAATTAATGATTAGATACAAATGAAATTATCAAAATGAGATTTTTAAGTTATTTATTTATTTATATAAATNGCGCTCTACTGTATGTATATATATATATATATATATATACCAGGGACTATTCTCCTTTTACATATTATGCCTTTGTACATATTATACTAAATTTTTCAGAACTTAAGACTTTTGATAATTTTTTAATTTTTCAATTGCGCAAAAAAAAATTGCGATTTTCTTACGAAATTAATTGTTTTTGGGTTAAATGTCATAAAGTAATTTTTAATTTGACCTCAAGATATTTAATATTCTGTCTGATGCTAAGACACTTAAGACCTAGGAATTAATGAGTTCCAAAAATTTTTAATAAGAGAAAATCTTTTAAAAGAAAGTTAAAAACGTAATTAAATTATTATCAAGCATATTATGACATTGAAAAATTTTCAACGCTGAAGATTAAATTCAATCTGTTGTAAATGGCAAATTGAGTGTTTGTATAGGAATCATATTATTCATTGATAAAATTGGCTTTCTATTCATGAATAAGTAGTTTTATACAAAAATAGACAAATAAATTAGCTGTTATCTTCACCACATAACTTACTACTACGCATCTCATAGTTGAATGCTGAGTAATTTTTCATGTTAACTTTAGTTGTTCTTAGAGTTAGTCATATAAATATAGTTTATATAACACACAATATGATTTTAATAAACAGTATTTATTAATTCCTTCAATTATATAAAAGCGTAATTTAAGTTAGAGAAAATCCTTTCACTACTTTTTATAAATATAGATTGATTCATGAAAGCATACTTTACGCAAAATATGTAATGGTCAAAAAATTTTAACATCACAAACGCTTTATTTCTTTCATTTATTACCAAAATGTATTCCATTCTTATTGTTTAATTAAATTATGAAATTATTTATTCTTTCAAATTATTTAATGAAATTAAGAATTTTGCTGTTGCCATCGGCTAAGATACAATTCACGAGGTTACTTAAAAGATTTATTTTATGTAGACAATGAGATTTAAATGTATTTATATTAGAGTAATAACTTAATAAAAAAATTGTTTATAAAAGTTAATCTTATTTTTGAAATTAAAAACATTTTTAATGCAATTCCAAAATGATTAAATATATTATGTTATTGGATAATAAGATTTAAAAAGCATTTACGTAAAACAATTACGTAATTACGATTTAGTTTTTATAAAATGTTATTTTAATTTTAAAATCAAATCCTGTTTTATCATGAACACTTTCATTATTATTCCTTATTTTATAAAATAATGAGATTTAATATACATTTATATAAGAGCAGTACCGCATTAATTAGAATTTACGTGGGTAAAATATGGATAAATTAGCCACCAGAATGAGTTTAAAATTAGTCTCTTGTTTACCTCTATCGTTCTTAAGACTAATGAGTCTACGGAAAGCTCAAGAAACAATCTAGTTAGCTCGAAATATGCTCTTTTATCCACTGACAAAAAAAATGACCGAAATTGTAAAATTTATCGTATTTTTAGTTTTATTGGAACACTAAAAATTTCGATTGTTTTTTATAAAAGTGCTTTGGTTTTGATTTTGGAAAAATTATCAATAAAATATGGTTGTATTACTCGTAATAAAACTTAGTAAATGTGATAATTTTATTATGATACTTCAGAGAACGGTATAGAAAATATTTATGCTGTTAAATTAGCTCTTCTGTTTCGTATTTTTCACTAAATGTGTTGTAATAAGAACTATAATAAGAACTATAATTTAAAAATCCAGAAATTCCAACAAATCATTACCAAATGAATGGTTTAAATATCGTATGTTGTTTATATTCTGTAAACCAGAATTATGTATTTTTATTTGAAATGGCTTTGTCACACAGTGCTATGAATTTACCAGATTCTTTTTCTCCGTGTACCTATCATAAAGTTTAAAATCAATTGATGTATATTAATTATAAACATTCGGTGTAATAAATGTAAAAAAAAACTATTTAAAAGTAGCATTTTAGATAGATTTTTTCCCAAACATTAATAATCAACAAATAAATGTTCTTTAATTTATTTATTACAAGCAGATTATTGATATAAAATAAATGTGCATGATATTATATTTAAACTAATATATAAATTTTTCAGGAACGTCAAAATTCAAATTTCTACTAAGGAATGAAATATGATAAATAAGCAAATACTATTGATAAATATCATATATAGCATCAGAATAAAAAAGGAAGAAGAATTGAAGGTTCAAAAAACAAGAAAATAGACAGAATGATATGAATTATTTATTTTTCTGCTGTCTTTCTCAATTTAAACATTCATACATACGATGATTATATTTAAACTGACAGTTGGCAGATTTGAACAAAAAAATACTCGTTGCATCTACTAACGCAAAACAGAAATTTTAAAAATAAAGTAACTTAAAGTAACATTTTGAATGAAATATTTTAGCTATAAAAGCATTAAAAATAAACATAGAACTATTTTAGGAAGGTAATAACGTGCTTAATGTACAGGAATGATTGATCACAAGCCTAAAGAATGGTTAAAAAAACACACACATTGTCATTTAACGTTATAAAATTTTTACAGAGGTAAATGTCATATTTTCACTTGGGAATGAAAAATGATGAAAAATAGAATAACTGAGCATATTGATCGAAAAGAATATCTTTTTATGTTTTGACATATCTATCTGAAGATTTAATATAATAAATAGAAGCATGCCGTAACTGCCGAATTACCCTGTCATGATAACAATTGTCTTTTTTTTCCAGTTTTGTCATAATGTTCCGGGTAGCAAACTCTGGTTAGTCAGAAAAAAATATCCAGTATAAAATATCGTTTTTTCTTCCTCGCATGATTCATCAGCTTTTATTGAAAATATTAAATGATTTCCAGTCAGGAAATAGTTAAGTTAATTATCCATCGCTATAACACAGGACAATTTCTAAAGCTTTTTCGAATTATTGATTTGCATAATAAGCATGTAAATCAAAACAAAGCAAAATTGCGCACTAAAAAAGTAGTTTTCATTTTAGAGTTTGTTCTTGAAATAAGAGTTTTGGTGATAAACAGTAGACAAACACAAACGAAAACGAATTCGTAAAGAAAATTAGGAGTTTTCACGAACCTCATTTGTGACCCTTCAACTAAGGACTGAAAAACAACTTACTTAATTCAATCTTTGAGAATATTTAGAGCTATTTCGAGTCAAAAATTAATTATGGAAATATATTTAATTGTCAATTGTTTTTTAATGTGTTGTTTTTGAAATCTTTTAATTTTAATTAAAAACTAAACTCAGTGGCACAACAGTCCATTGAGGGCCAAGGTCTACTGTGCCCATCTCAGTTTTCTTCACCTTGGGCTCTGGGGTGCATCAGCAGAAGCTCCGGTTAGGTGGTCAGCCGAACACGGAACCCCCAGCGTTTAGTTCCCAAGCATGCTTGGTACTCATTTATCGACCCACTGAAGGGATGAAAGGCTGTTTTAATTTTAATAAAAATGTTTATTTAATATATTTTATTCAGCAACAATTTTACTCGATACAGAATAGATCTTTTTTCAAAATATTTGACTGTAGCTTATAAGAAACAGCTATCGTTATATTTAGTAGTTAAAACATACTGATTTTAATTGATAAAGTACGTAGAAATTAGTAACTAAATACATAAATGGTATCGTATTATGTAATCAAAACATGTGTTTCTGAGAAATTAAATATCTAATAAATAATAATTAATTGTGAATTTTTAAATTTTAAACTCTAGGGTTAAAAACAAAGTCTTACCTATCAGAAGTTCCCGTATTTAAACTTTTCAAACTTAAAATTCCTTAATTTAGTGATGTTCTTAAATAGATTGTAAAACTTCAGAAATATTAAATGTCTGTAAAATGCGTTGATTATTGAAAACCTTTAAACCATTTAATCTCATTATTGTTTTAGAAAACTATTTTCACAATTTGCTTTATTTATATTTTTAATGCATTTAAATTTGAAACTAAATATTTACTGAAACATGCATTGAACCAATTTTTATACATTTTTGGTATCAATTACTGGTGTAGCGTTTTATTTAGATTAGCAAAACAATGTTTATTATTTGCTAATATTTTACGTTTCTTAACTAATAGTTTATACATGAAATTAAGACTGATTAAAGAATATGCCAAGAAAATAACGAAGAAGCTTTTAGTTTGAAACAGCAAATAAAAACAATTAGATGAATTTGGAAAATCAGTATTCAAAGGAGGCAAGAAGGAAAAGCAAGAAAGTTAATAAGTTTGTTTAAAAACGGTTAGCTTCAGCAAATTAGCTGTCAATTGATGAATTATGATTTTATTTTTCATCCGCTTATCTTTTTAATTTTTTTTTTATGACGGATATAAATCGAAAATCTTGACGGAGTGTCAACTAAAATATTTATGCTCCTTACAAAACATGTTTGTAACTAACTACATGTTATTACATATTCAATATTTTATATGAAATAATCTAAACCAAAAAATATTTCTAATTAATCCACTACATTTAATTGTTTTCGTGTTCTTATATGACAATTCCTTTGCAAAAATGTAAGGTATTTTTGAGGCTGTTTCAAAATCAACAGTTTTAAAAAAATCCACCTGATTTAGAAAATGAGGTTACATTTTGTACCAAAAATAACCTCATTGATAAATCTTAATTTCAACCTCAATTACACCTCACAAAATCATCCTTACATATAACCTAGGTAATACTTTTAGTTGAGATTGGTTGAAATTATTCACACCTCAAATATACCTATTCAGTTGAAGTGTAGAAAAATGGTTTGTACACCTCAAAAATATAACCTCTCTAAACTGGTTGCTTACAAGTATTTTCAAAAACCTCTGAACAACGTCAAGTGTGAATAGGACACTTCATACACCTTCATTAAACACATTGAGAAGTTTATTATTTAAGATTGCTTTTGAAGTCAACTTCAAATAAACCTTCAATCAACCTTGACACCTCAAATTACCTTAAATTTTTGTAAGGATTATTTCACATGAAATGTTATGTCATATTCAACATTATGTATATAAAATATTTTGCATTAAAAATATTGTGCATCAATTCATTACATTTCTTGTTTTCTTCAGATATATATGAAGCAAAAATTTTAAAATATGTTAATTCTACTTATATTTCACTTGAAATTAAGTTTATTACTATACAAATTGTATAAAAAAAATACTTTGAAACCAATACACAGGCATTATAGCTACCGAATACTGTTTCGCGAATTTTTCAACTTCAAATAAACCTTCAATCCACCTTGACACATATTACCTTAAATATTTGTAAGGATTATTTCACATGAAAATGTCATATTCAACATTATGTATATCAAATATTTTGCATTAAAAATATTTTGAATCAATTCATTACATTTCTTGTTTTCTTGAAGATATATCTGAAACAAAAATTTTAAAATATGTTAATTCTACTTATATTTTACTTGAAATTAAGTTTATTACTATACAAATTAAAAAAAAAATGCTTCGAAACCAATACGCAGGCATTATTGCTACCGAATACTGTTTCGCGAATTTTACTATCATAATATTTACTTGTTTGTCCAGGACTTGAATTTCATTTTATCGGAAAATGTGAATAAAGTTTATTGCTTTATCTGCGTTTAAAGAAGTGAGACAAAATGAATATGTTTGTTTCCCTCTGACAGGCTTCCTGCCAGCCGTGGATCGATCTGCCCGAGGCAACTATGGTCTCATGGATCAGGTGGCGGCATTGCACTGGATTCAAGACAACATCCGGGAGTTCGGCGGTGACCCTGCCAATGTTACGATATTCGGACAAGGCTATGGAGCAGCTTGTGTTAACCTCCTTATGCTTTCGCCAATGGCTAAAGGTATAGAATTGTACAGCATTAAGTCTACTTTTCTATAAATAGATATGAGAGAAATCAATTTATGCTCATTAGTCCACATTACGAATGTACGTAGAGGCAAGGTCTGTTGTTATTATAATCATTAATCGAATGCTTTTAGTTTGGTAATGTTTGTTAAAACACTTTTATTTGTTTAATTGTGGACGCAGAGCACACAAATTAAAAACGAGTACAGAAATTTAGAGATTAGTTAAACCTATTAAGAATATTCTTAAATATGCCTAACTAAATAGACTTTTAAAAAGAAATTTATGTATTCTAACTCTTTAATATATGGATTTAGACGCAAAATTTTTTATTTAATTTCGTGTTACGCATAAAAAGAAAAATTCTAATCCCAATGCTTTTTAATGTAATAAATATATTCCTGAATATATATTGGTATAGAAACTTTTTCGTTCAAAAAAATTCCATTCTTTCTGCTTCTAAAATATGAGGCTATAAACAATTAAATTTGAATTGTATAATTAAATGTGCTGTTATTGGTAAAAAAAGAATTTAAAATCAAAATTAGAGTTTTTTTTCTCTATTAATTTCATTCCTTGATAATATTTTCGTATATTTTTAAATACGTTTTAGTATACTCAAAGAAATATGATAAAAGCATACTAGAAAAAAATTTTTCTCTTATTGTTACTTAGAAAAGGTAACTAAGATCAATATGCAAAACTCCTTTTTCTAACTAATTACACATTTTTAAATAAAAAACTTCCACTTAAGAAATCTGTATTGAAGTTTTTAAATTTAATTGTCAGAAATATTATTTAAATGGAATTTATCTTCTATAAAGTATTTTGATGAATCAATATTACATGTTATACTGTGAGATAGCTCAGATTCTGGATATAAACCATTAAATGTTTAAATGCGGAATTAAGAATTGAGAGAATATTTTATCGTTAAAATTAGAGACACCATATTAACCGTTTATACGGCCCATGTTAACTGTTATGCCGAATTAGAAAAGGGGGAACTAATAACTTGAAAATTAACTACTGAAGTGTCACTAAAGACAATAAAATAAAAATAATTGGGCTAAAATATTTTAAGTGCATTTTCATTTTTTGAAACATTGGAGTTTGGCAGGAGCCTTTTTTTTTCTAAGGATGGGTGCGATTGCTTCAGCTGCATTCCAGGTCACGTTTTCGGTCGGAACGAAACGGTATCCAATTAGAAAACCATGAAAGTGTAAAATATCATTTTAGGAAAAACATAAAAATTTTAAAGTTTTTTTTTTCAGAAAATAATTATATATTGACAAGAAATTTTAAAAATTTATTTTCAATAGTTTCTAAAGTACGTTAAGAGAAAAAAAATTCATACTTCCATGACATTTTTGTAAAATTGCTTCCAGCTTTTTCAATTATGTTGGCTCATCAAATTTCACTTTCTTATTCGATTTTATAATTTATTTACACTTTCACTTATTTAGCCTATTATTTTCGCTTCTCAAATGGGATTTAATTTCCACTTCATCTTTCGCAACAATATTTTTACAAAACAATATTCTAAAGACATAGAATGGCATAACAGGTTTAAAGTTATTTTCCTACAAATTAAATTTCTGATTTATCAGGATATATTCTACAAATAGATCTTTCAAATCTGAATACGAAAATCATTTTTACATGGCCATTGTCTGTTGTATTGTTATGCATTTCTTTGACACGGGGGAAAGAGAAGGCACATTTTAACAATGAGACAAATAAAGAAAGGACTTATATATACTTATATTTATCTTACTCTTTAACAACAAATTTATCACGAAGTAAAATAAATCATAAGAATCAGAAAGGAAAACCTATCAATAGTAAGATTCTGAATAATACCATTGCTGGGAGCACATAGAAAAATTCCTTTGATGACAAAGTTTAAATATCATCGTGAAAAAAAAATAAAAAAGTAGTACAGTCCCCTGAAAGCCTTCTCCCTGTGAAAAAGAATTCCTCTTCACTAGAAAATTTTTTAAATTAACTAGAAAAACATTGAGTATGAAAAAGTACATATCTCGCTATTTTCTAAGTTTAATTTTCTCTGTCATTCTGTTATCAACCAGTAGCATGTGCATGCAAAAGAACCATGTTGAACCCAAACGTGTAAATCAAGCATTTTTCCATTCAAAAATCATTATTTATCTTGAATAAGTGTCATTACACCAATAGAATAAAATGCACTCAGTACAACCAAATTTATCACCTGAGATCTAAAATTGGAACTCTTTAAATGCCAATTATTCACGATTGGAACATTAGGTTTTTTTATCAAGAAAATACCTGCGATATCGCTTTGAAATTGTGTGGGGACATTTGCGATTATATCAGTCGTATGCTGTGATAATGTTTTAGTGTAAACAAAAACACTTTTTAAGCTATGAAAGATTTTTGCTCAAAAATGATGAAACATTTTAAAAGGTACATTGAGAAAGGTCAGTTTAGCATTATTGGTATATGGCATCACGACTCTCCTTATGCTAAAATTTTAAAATATAATTAAAAATTAAATAAATAAAATGCCTAACCGTAAGGTATATTATCCCTTTAAAAGCTTTTAATACTGTAGTAGCATTACAAAAATTGGATTTTCGGTAAATTACTTTGCAAGCAAGACAAAAGTTCATTAAAAAAAATAATAAAAAATTGAATAATTATGGAAACGGAATCAAATTAATTGCAAAAGAAAAACTGCATTTTCTGAATTTCAAATGAATAATTCAATGTATATAATATTATTTGCTCTTTAAAGTATGTTTCAATTTAGGAACTTTGGCATAGGAGCGGCATATAAATGGCTGAAAGATATTAGAAATGATGTATTTTACAACTGCCTAAAAAATTGAAACACGCTTAATTAAAAGGCACTATAAACTTTGTTTCTCCCATGTTCTTACTGCGTAAAATAAATCGATTTTTATGAATTGAAGTTTAAAATATCAATAGAAATTGTAAAAAAAAAAATTACAAGTAATTTAATTTAGTATATATAAATTCCCTAAAAATTTAATGTGACAGTTGATAATCCACATCGTCATAGAAATCACAATAAGAATGCGTTCAATTTAGTCTGATTTCATGATTCGAAATCTCACGTTTCAACTCTAACCAAATGAAATCATTATTTCATTTGAGACTACTATCGCTTACTTAAAAAATGTAAATTAAAAGAGACTATTTAGATATTTAATAAGCATAATATTCAAAATAATAATAACTCCTATTATCTGAAAGATGATAATGAGCCTCATTTTCTTTGCCTCTTCGTTTAAAATGTTTGCTTCTGATTGCATGTCTTAAAGGGTGTAGAAGGCTTTCGTTCACTTCAGTGAGATGTATGATTTCAGTTTCCTTAACAAGTAGATTTTTAGGAGGTATGGTTGTTAATCATATGGTCAACCTCCTACGTGGAGAGCCAGGGTGTTACTTTTAATCTAATGCCTCCCCAGAAGAATTTATCTCCTTAGAAAAGCAAAGCAGGAACCAATTGATCTGGAAATTGAAAAACGTAAATGGAAAGGGATTGGTCATGATATACGTAAATCTGAAAATTTAAAGTAAAGCAAGTACATGATCGGTGCCCTCAGGATAATAGAAAAAGAGGAAAAGACTTAAAATTATTTGGTGCAAGACAATTGCAAGCGAATTTAAGGCAATAAGAATAACCTGGAGAGAATCAAAATATCTGGAAACAAATAGAGTGCGACGAAAAGCTATGATACAAGCTCTATACTTCAATTCGGAGTAAGAAGGAATATGTATGTATGTATTATCTGAAGTGCTAAAAGTATATAATAAGTAAAAAGCAGATTATAATTTTTTTTATTCAGAAGTAAATATTTTTCATTGAAGATTCTGTTAATAAAATACCTAATTATTCTGATTTACTATCTGTGAGTTTATACGTTAATCATAACGAAAATATTATTTTACTATTATAATTACTATTATCGCCTGAATTTAAAACTAAACAATTATATTTGGAAAAACAATTCACTAAAAAAACAGATTGTGTGACGCAATAAGAGAAATATATGAGTAGAAAGTAATTTTAAACATTAATAAAACTTATATCATCATAGCAGTTTAATTGGGAAACGACTTTTTATCTGTTTTGAATTCTTTTCTTCCTTTTTATACTTTCAAGACTTTTGATGTAGACGTAAATATTTATGTCTGGTAACATCTGATATCTCTTCTCCATTCCGTTTGAAACCGACTGAGGAGCTAGCTTATAAAACTAAGTTTTCCAGAGTGATAAATGAATTTTCCTCCAATAAATTACTAATTGTTATTAATTGAAACAAAAAATGGCTAAAGAAGTACTTGAAATTGCAATAACTTTTGTGTGAAATAAAATTTAAAAAAAAAACGCTTTAAGTTTACAAATAGAAATTTCTTTTTCTATCACGTCAAATTTCAACTCTGCAGTTGCATTCCTGTTAGTTTTAGAGCAACCCGCATGGCATTCTTAACTAAACAGTTAATAAATTTTAAATATTGATTATCCAATGTTGAATTTTTCATTTCATCACAATCCTTGCACATTTTTCAAAGCATTTTCTTCATCTCAAGCTTTCAAGTCTTGTTGCTTTTACGTAGAAAACAAAATACCAGAAACAATTGCGCCTGCCTCGGTTTATTAAACCTTAAATATATCAATCTAAAATTACAGTTTTAAAACAAAACTCGCTTTTAAAATTTCATAGGAATTATGATCATGGAAAAATGAATAATATCCGTGAAACTATTGAATTGGATTTGTACAACAGAGAAAGAAAGAATATTAATTATTTTACTACACAAAAGAAACATTTCAAAAATTTATGAAGTTAACTTTTATATCGGTAAAGACGATACTAGTTTGCAAGGAAAATAAAACTGAAATATACAAAAAATCTAATTATACAGTTTCTTTTGAAATAAGACTTTTATAAATTATAATAGTTCGAAAACATAATAGCCGGCAGCTGTTACTTAAATTCGTTAAACAGTGAAAATATATTATTATATAAATGTAATTCCACAATGTTTTAAATTTTTAGAGAAATGATTTTGCTTGTTAAACTAAATAACCGAATTTTAAGGGGAATTTAACGAACCTATGTATTTAAAAGTCTCTAAGCAAGTGTATTTCAACTAACAATGAGTAATTGGAAGGAACTATTATTTGAAAATAGTGAAAAGTAAAAAAATTTGTAATATAACCTGAACTATATACGCAATTAGCATATTTTGACTTTAGCAAGTTAAATTTGTTAAAATATAAAATTTTGTTTAAAATTTTTGTTTTATAATTAAAATTATTTTGCCAGGGCAAATTTTATTTTAAATAACAGTAAACTGCTTTTGACTTCTTATTAACGTTAAATATTTGAATACTTATCACAATTTATCTCAACTCTAATAAGTTAAAAAAAATTAAATTCATAAAAAAATAAACTTGAGATAAATTAAATGAATGAAAAATGTAGAAAAAAATAAAATTTTGTTTTCTTAAATTACCCATTTAATTAACTGCATCCCCGAAGATCAGGCACGTGTTCAGCATTATTAAGAAATCTTTTTTTCAGGGGAATTTAAAAGGAAATCGTGACCCGAAATTTTTATTTTGATAAGGAAATGACTACTTATAATTCTTTTTATTTTTTAATTACTCTCGTTAACTTTGATTGATATATTTACGCAATGACTAATTAAAACGATAAAATGCTTATTTTTATGGCAACAGTAATTGCCTTCCTTTTCAATAAACAGAAATTAACTTTGGAATCATTGGCGAAACGTAATTATTTGTGCAAATATTTTTTGCATTCTGATGAACATACTTTAAAGATGTAAATAAGCTCCTTAACTAAGTAATTATGTTTATGGGGTTTGAATTTGAGAAAATTTTAATTCATTGTGCTGAAAATGGATGTAAAATAATAGTGGTATGATAAATAAAAACGCTATTTAATTTACGTAGACATATTTTTTATCTATCTATTTATCAATCTATCTATTCAGTTATTGAGCTTGTGTTTAAGGTTGCGTTAACTTTGGTACATTTAAATTTATGTAATGATTGTTTTCATTGTTAAAACACTATTTATCAACTATTCAACCAAATAGGAAGAACTTGTTAAAATTGAAACATAAATACAGGCAAGTTTTATGCAGTTATCAAAAGTATGGATTTCAAATAGGGTACTGACATATATATATATATATATGGAGAGCCNTAATAGAGAAAAAGAATCGTCCGCATGCGAGAGTTGTTCGTTTACGGGAAGGGTACGCTAATTAAGATGTTAAAAGCCGTAAATTGTTTTGTTAGAATAAATGCGATGGCATGGAAATAAATAAATAATCTATAATAACTACTTACAATGGTATTTTGTGATGTACTTTCTTCAATATAAAAAGAATATATGAAAAAGTTTGATATTTACACATAATTCTAAGTGTAGCTACAGAGAAATGAATATGTTTTCTTATTAACACTGACATTCAAGTTAGTTACACGAAACCAAATAGGCTCTGTTGGTTCTACATCACTTTCTCGGTGAGTTTAATCATTAGGTATGTAACCCTAACACCTCCCCATCACATGGTAGGAAACGTAATAATACATCCTTGAAGATAAATTTTCCCCGATGCATAGAAAAAAAGAAAGCATCAATGCATACCTGTAAGGCACGATGCTCTATGAAGTTGTTATATTTAAAATGTTTCCTTTACATGAACATCTCGATGACTATTTCTGTTCACTTTTTTCTTTTAACCCGACCGTGTTAAATACAGTCTTCAAATTGACAAGTATTAAGAAATTTTGGTGGGGGGGAAGATGAATGATCTCTGTAGTGGGAAGATGATCTCTGTAGTGGGGAAGATGAATTGCGAGCAATTAATGCGTTACTTCAGCGTGTGGTTCATATCCAGTATCATCCAGATGAAAAGATCAAATGAAGCCACCGTCAGAAAAATATTTCAGACATGGCCAGTATTCACATGAAAAGTACCATTTTCATTCCTTTCTTTTCAAAGATAGAGGATGGTGACAGGAGAATGATTGATTCTTTAGTAGTGAAATAGTTTTACAACTTAGCAATGTTATGTATGTTAAGTGAAATCTCTTTATTTTGTTTATGAAATATGTATTTTCTGTAAAATAATCTTATTAAAGAATGCATAATCCTTTGCATCACATGAATGACAAATAATATATTAAAAAGAAACAACTTAAAAATAATCCAAAAAATAAAATTAAATTTTGTTATGCAATGTATATATTGCATAACGTAATATTGCGAGATATATATTTAATTCCGTTCTCCGATCTAATGTTTCAATGAATAGGTCAGAATAAATTGAACACGTTAAACAAATAATTGAATTTTATAACTTTATCTACGTATTTTATTTATGAAACACTATTTTTTCTGAAGTGTAATAACAAAGATATATAGATTATCAAAACAATTGCACACTTGATACCCGAGCAATTTCTAAAATCTATTTAGCACATATAATCAACGTTTGAAGTTAAGGAAAAATTTGCCAAAAATTATACTATGTTACATAAAGTATACATATTTGTAATGCCATAATAAGCATTACATATTTCCTAGCTTGTAAAATTTCTTTCGTTTTACAGTCAGATAACTAATTAAGCTAATTTTTTTAAATTCATTTTTAGTAAGAGCGAATGAATATATTATATTCTCAATAAATGTAACGGCTAACTTTTTTATCTCAGTGCATAACTAATTATTATTCAATATCACGACAACTGATCATCAAAATCCATTTTTAATCTTTCCTTCATCAACCACATTAAACATTAGGATATACGTTATTAGGTTTACTTGAATTTCCAACGATGATCTTATTGGCTTTAAATCTTCAGCCAAATTTTTTTTGTAGTAATATGATGCAACATGATGTTGATTAAAATGGGTTTGCATTTGGCTGTATACTTTTTCGATAAAACGCCTATAATGGATCTCGCTAGTACTCAGAAATTGCTGATTAAATACCACTTTCATTTTAGCTTTTTACTATGCAGGTGGTGGAAATTCATCTCTCGTTGCCTGTCCTGTTTATATTAGGTTTCTTTTTATTTTCACCTCGAGGTCTGCAACGAAATAAAATTATTTTATGATTTTATACCTGTTTTTCAGCATCTTCCTCAATTTGTCAATCTACACCAAGATCTACCGCATCATTTCACCATTATAATAGTATTATACAAAACACTATATTATTTTTTGTAAATTTATGCAATGTTATTAAAATTTAATCTCATTGTTTTATTTCTATGTTTGAACCTTAAATAATCCCGAGACCTTCCAGGCATACGTACTATAGCTTGCGTACTTTTCAGGTCTATTTCAACGAGCTATTATGCAAAGTGGATCAGCTTTGAGCTCCTGGGCCATAGCACGAGATGCTATTACACATACTAATTACATTGCCCGTGTTTTGGACTGTCCTGCTCAAGATAGCACAGCACTGGTTGAATGCATGCGAAAGAAAAAACTCGAAGACATCATGAGCGTGTACATTCAGGTACCTGATCATTTATCTGGATTCGGTCCAACAGTGGATGGAATTGTTCTTCCTCGCGACCCTGCTGAAATAATGGAAAAAAGTTCTTCACTTTTTACTCAGTATGATCTTATGTTCGGTTCAACCCGAGTGGAATCATATTTTCAGTTTACGGCAATGGAAGAAAAGTTTGGAATAGACAGTGGAAGAAGAGATAGATTGTTGAGAACATTGGTCAGGAATCTTTACACATATCATTTGCAAGAGGTGAGTAAAAGGATTTTTTAGTGCTTAAGTGTCCTACTATAAATGGAATACGATAAGCAAAATATGTCGAGGTGCACAGGTAGATTTTATTCTGCAGTTTGCTTAGTAGTTCGCTAGAACTAGAAAAAATAACGACTCCTACTATTGAATGAAAAAAAAAGTTTATAACAAAACACTTAGAATTTCCACAAAAAAAAAATAGTGTATATACATAATGCTAACTCATTCAATATGATTAGTATGTTGGTATTGCTTTATAATTTAGTAGAATTGCAAATGTTAGTAGCAAGAATTTTAATTTAAACATTATAGTTTTAATCAAAATTGATTAAAATTCAACATGAAAAGCTTGGTATAATTTGACACTTATCAAATATGATCTTTTGCAAATATGATGCTAAGTACGAAAGCAAACGCTCCTTTTGGTAGATATACAAACTTCTACAGACGCAACTGTTTTAACAGCACGGCTGGTTGACTGTTTGTTTTTTTAGAATATTTAAGCATATAATTTCGATTCTTATATCCTATTTTACTTGTATCAACCTAAAAACATTTTGATTTTTTTTTAGTTTTCTCAGCTCAACATAATAATTATTCTCTTACAACAAATAACAAACAATTACAACAAACAATTACGACAAATGTACTAAAGCTACTACCAAACTGAAACTGCATACGATGTTATAGAAGCCTTAGATGTTCTTATTGTACCGGTCTTAGGCTTCAGTGTTTCTTTTGTTAAAGTCAAAAATTATTAGTATAATACTAGCTAAAAATAGATAGAATTAATATAATCCCTTTTGCAAACCTACAGTGCTTTTCTTTAACGATAAACTGATTAAACCTGCTCTGCAAAAACAGTTTTTGAAGTGAATGTTCCAATAGAATTTTTAGGATAATGAAAACAATATTTGGTATTCACTTAGCTTCTTTAATTTGTTTCTTGGCAAATAGTTATTTAAGAGCATTTTTGTAAGTTTTTAATTAAAAAAAAAGGCATTTTCTTTGGAGGAAAAAAGCATAAATACCTATGCATCCAATTGAACGTCAAATACATGAAAAATCTAATGAACGGACAATTCATAAAATAAATCATCTCGTTTATTCTGTCTTGCATTATGCGATTCACTTAAAAGTAGATGAAAAGTAAATAACAACATCAAAACAGGCGAGAAAAAAATTTGCTTCAAATCAATTAATAAAATAGTTAGAAGACTCTATCACAGAAGGACAAAATGAAATTAAAAGTTCTTACAGTTTTTTTAAGATTAATATTATTTTTTTCATATTGATATATATTATGATTGAATACGAGTATATATCCTACTAAGATATTTCAAGTATACTTGCTTAAAGTTTCTTTGGCAATTATATATGCGACAATTATTTATATATATTGACGATTATATATTATTCATACGCAAATTTTGAAATTATACCATGTAATACTCTTTAAGCGATTTTTCGGCAATTTTATTTTTTTATATTTAAGGAATGAAAACATGTTTTGGTCCGCAGCTAAATTAAGTAACATTTTAAAAAATTTTTATCAGCGAAAAAACTAAGTGTATATCATTTAGAAAATCAGATTTTAGCAATAAAAGGGCTGTTGACTTAGTTTCATTAGTTGTATAAAGCGAATTTCATTTCGTTGAAAGGAACTTTTGTTCTTAAGAAATACTACAAGTATTTAATTGCTCAAATGATAATTTTAAATATGTAAATTAACAGTTTCAGAGTATTATTGAATGACACATTTTTTTCACTTTTAAGATTTAAAAGGCAGTTCTTATTTTCAATTCCCTTTCAATTTATAAGTGCTTTAATAAATTGCATATAATAGTGCTCTTTTATAAAATAATTGATAATATTTTAATTTGCCTTGTGTTTTTCTGTCTTATATTATTAATTTCAAAAATATTTACAATATTTTAGATTTAAGTTATCTTTTTTATCCATTTATGAAGAAAACTTTTTTCTTAAATTCCGAAAGCTTAAAATATATATTCTCTTACATGTATTACAACAGCCAAAAAAATTAAATTAGCGTGCAATAATATTGATTTCTTGAACTTTAAATCGATATTTATTATTTGAACTAATAATTTGTTAAGTTACCAAATACGCTATATTGAATTTCATTACCGAAATTCAATTATTAAATTAATTATTATTAAATTTTTTATAGAGTCTTAACATGATAAAAAATGTAGAATTTTTATTGAAACTGTAAATTTCCTTAAAATAAAAACTTTAACTAAACTATCCTTTAACTACTTTAACTTTTCATCCTATTTGATTTACCATTTCTTTCAATTAGATTATGATTATTATATTGAAAAATGCTTTTTAATATTTTATTCTTTGAATTTAAAAAAACAAACTAAAATCTAAATATTACATGATTACAAATTTACAATGACGTTGCAGCAATGTTAAGTTTTATGTTTATTGTGTTATTTTTATTATGTTTGAAACCACTTTTACAATAAATAAGCTTTGAAAGCAATTTTACTTCTGATTTTTTTAAAAAACATTTACAACCAAAAAATGAATGAATATAAATAAACAATACGCTCAAAAAAAGTCAATCACCTTGAATAACTAGTCAGTCACCTTGAATTCTAGTCTTAGGATTCAATGTAACGGTTAATTAATTGGTGCAATATGTTAATTAATATGTTAATTAATTGGTGCAGTCAATGTTTCAAGTTATGAAATTGGACATAAAAACATACTTTCTCTGAATAAACATACGTTATTTTTCAGCGGATTCAGATTTCTAACCCCCCAAGATATATGGGGCAGCCGCAATCTTCGAAATATTGTCCCCATAGTTTAATCAGAAAAGCTAACCAACGCTTGGATCCCTTTGAGTTAGTTTTATTTTTTGCATATTTTGACATATCCCGATAACTTTTTTAGCGAATTGAATTTTTTTTTGCGCACAACTATTAAATTCGTTTATCAAAAGATTATTGCATTCAAAAAATAAAGCTTAGTAAGCATTTATAACTTTTTTATTATTTTGTTTTACTTACTTTTACTGTCCAAAATATTTTGAAATGTAAGATATAGAATTTTTACATTATTTTAAGGTATCTAATTTGCCCAGAAAATTTACATACCTTACAATTCAAAATCTACATTCGTCTGTTATTAAATAAAAAAATATCTGCTAATTATGTATAATAACTACTCTATTTTTGCATGGAAATATTTTTAGATAAATAGATTGTATAAATATGTGGAGAAATTTTTCAATTCACTTAAAAAGTTCTTGCAAGACGACGAAATATGCAAAATGTAAAATTAACATTAAGGGATTCAAGCAGTGGATTGCTCTCCTAACTAAACTATAGGAACCATGCTTTCCCGATAGTAGAAATTCGAATCCGTCAACAAAAAAATGTGTTTATTTTAAAAAAAAATTACGTTTTGCGTTCGTTTTCGTTACTTATCGTCCGCACTAATTAAGTAGCATATTTGAGGTCACCGTCTCGAACCATTATGATCGAGTCCTAGAACGTGAAGATCCGATCATTAGAACCAAAGGTTATTCAAGGTGGTCTGTTTCTTTAATACAATGGTGCTACGGGGACAATATTTAGCTTTAAGGTTATTGTGTTATTTATAGCATATATATATATCCATTATTATATTAAATGAGGTTTTAAATATTTTCTACTTTGGATTTTAAAAAAAAATCAACCTAAAAATTACATAAATATAAATGTACATTGTTGCTGCAGGGAGACAATATTTATAGCTTTATGTTTAATATTGACGGAAAAAATTACAAAATGCCAACAAAAATTATGCTATTAGATTTAAATAGCTGCACGGACTTTTTTGAAATTAAATACTAAATTAAATATATGTTCTTACAGAATTATTATGTGGTAAAAATTGTAGCATTTTTATAAGAATTGCACGTTTTCCGTGGACAGAATTTGAATAAAATTCTTGATTCTTTATATTTCAATTTATGTTTTGTGAAATATGCTCTGCATATTCTTCGGAAGCACAGATGTGGAAATATGTATCTTTTGGGAATCATATATTACCAGCTCAAGAAGCATTATCCTGGTTTAGTGAAGTTTTGTCTAATCTACATATTTGAATAGAATTTTGAATAGGATTTACATACATGAATTTCAACACACATTTTAAAGAAGTCTAAATGTGAAAATGACTCAAGTCTTCCCCAGGGAAAAAATACGAAATGTACATGACGATTAGTTCTCATTTATGAGAACAGTTTTCAGTAAATGTCATTTTAGTCCAAATGTATATTTTGATCTTGTAACTTAAAAGAAAAATACCACAATTTCTATATAAAACTCTAGACTTAAATTAAATTGGTTAAAAGAACTTAGATTAAATAAAGTGTTAGATTAAATGACTGACTCTTCCCTCTTTCAGTGTTAGATATTTAATCTAACACTGATAGATATCAAAGTTATACTTGACTGTTATACAAAGTTATGCTGTATTGACAAAATGTCACTCCCCAGGTGGGTATTGAAAAAAAAAACATTTTTAATGAGAATACCAAATTTAAGCAAGTGAGTAGTACGATAATTCCGTGTCCATTTCATATTGGTTTTTGAGGCATTTTCATTAAAGTTTAAGGTCTATCGTTCGCAAAAAAGTATCATAAATACACTTTTGAGCTTGCAATATTCAAATAAAGCTAGTTTTTATTACTGTTTGTTACTTTAAATTATGTATTTACTTAAAATTGTAAAACTGATGATTCTTTCGCAATTTTTTCTTTCTTTTTACATCCACATTTCAGGTTATTGCCCATTTATAAATCTATACTTTTAATAACTGTATTAAATTGCATGTATTTATGTTTAAATTTTAACATGTTTTTCTTTAAAATGTTGAATAGTTGCTAAAAATTGTTTTAATAATGAAAAAAACATTACATAAATTTAAATATATCAAAGTTAACACAAGTTTAAACATTAATATCAAAAGCAAACTCTATTCATTTAAGCTTTTGAACATATATCAACAAATTTCTGAAATTAGTTTTATAATAAAATAGTTCTTTGTACCAATAAATATAAAGAGAGCTTAATTTAGTAAACGTCTAATATTCCTAACAAATTATTTTCACTTTTAAAAATCAATTTATACCGACTTAAAGATAGAATTTTTCTTTGTATTCAAATATATAAAACAGAAAGCGAAGTAAGAAACGTAGATAAATGTAGTTAGGAATAGTTACCAAATAGTTAGTTTCTCTTAACTATTTATTATTTTGTTTGTTCTGTGTACTTTACGTTGCTTTCTTCTATGAAACTTTTACCAAAATTACAGATATATTTTGCCTTTAACCCTTTCTCCCTATAGACGGATGTTATTTTGATCATCTAATTTTTTTTACATAATTGAAATAAGAACAATGTCTTCTTTTTATGGATAAAAACTCATTTATCATTTAACTTGTTTCCTTATACTATACACAGATCAAATAAGCATACATAGTGTTGGGTGACAGAACTAATGATCACTACAGAATGGGGTAATGATAGAAAATGTCAAAGTAAACAACACTCACAATAAATGGGTTCTTAAATCAAAGGGCAAATCGTGAGAGGGTGTCAGCTACACGAAACCGTCTTTTCGAATCTCCTAATCTGCCCTGCTTTTATTTCTTACTGGAAACATCGCGAACGATATTTAGGAGTTGCTCATTGGCATTTCAGCCCGAGTAGGCACCGGAACTGTAGACAGTCTTAAAGTGTCAGGAATCTTTAAACTCCACACTATAGGAATTTTCATACCGGCAGCGGTCTGTTTATCCAATTAACAGTAAAGTTTACTGCAAAGAACATTTTTTACCTTTATGGTTGTGAAATCGTTTGCAACTAGTATGATTAAAAACAATTAACAAATTATGCACTTTTTTAAATTTTTAAACATTCACAACTAGCATGGTTTTGAAACCATAAGGAAAAAAAACTGGTCATTGGAAACAGCTTAGCAGCTTTGAGGTGCTGCCATCTAAGTGTGAATGAGGGCATCTTATTCTTATAACTCAGGGTCACAAATTGGGGAATACAGGACACTGGAAACTCTTCATGTGTTGAACAGAAAAGACGAAATATTGTTAAGTCAACGTTAGGATTCGAGACCCCCATTCTGTCAGTCATGATATTGACAGACTAGCCCTCTCGACTCTAACATTTACCCACTGCAAGAAATTACATGACTTCATTAGGTGGGCCTAGTTTGTGCGATATAACTCTGGTTGTTTAACCATATTATTTGAAACCAGCTAAAAAACGGTTTCTCTCCCTGTTAACAGTTTGAATAACATTTTATTGTTATTAGACTGTTATATAAATTTTTATATAACCATTTTTTCCGAGAAATATATATGTAAACCATTGTATGGCGTAAGTAGTTTGTCTTAGCGTGCCCTATTTCCCTTTACAGTGGTGACTTTTAGCATTGTTACAACCAGTATATTTAAAAAAAAAGTAGCTAAAGTCAATGCCCTTTCATTTACTAATAATAATTTGTTAATTTAGTTTAACATTTTTTATCGTTTACTTTTTAGATATTTTTGACTGTCGTTAATGAATACATGGATTGGTCAAGATCTTATCTGCAGGCAATGGATATTTTTGATGGAACTGCCGACGCATTAGGAGATGCTTTAGTTGTAGCCCCTGTCATTAGATCAGGTACATTTCATAGTGGTGGAATACCCAGGGAAGATTCATACCCAATGCCCTCCTTACAACCCATTGGAAGTGGCAAGAAGACATACTTCTATATTTTCAGTCATCAATCTGAATATGGGGATTATGCTTCTCGACTTGGCTGTATTACAGGTGAAGATTTGGCATACGTGTTTGGAGCTCCTTTAGTGGATACCTTATCTCATTTTTCAACAAACTACACCAGAGCTGAAGTAACACTCTCTGAAATTACAATCACTTATTGGACCAACTTTGCAAAATTTGGGTAAGTGAAGGTTTAATTGTTAGTACATTTAAAAATATTAAAAAAGAGTCTTCAGGGTTTGAAATTCGTGCTTCTATTTTCGCACCTGCTCCTCACTTTTTATGAATCATTGCATCAAAATATGTTCATTGTTAAACAGTTTCTATACTCCTACAATTGGTTTGAAATTCAGTTTGTTTTCAATGCAACGTTTTCTGTATATCCTATAAAAATAGTTTTTTGAATTGTGGATTTTAAAGTTAAATGAAAAGTAAATTAATGATACTAGCAAAGTCTATGCGTTCTAACATTACAGTGAAATTTTATCTTATTCCCCTTTTTGCATCCTGGACTGAATTTTTCATTGTCCAATCAAATAAAATAATAAGCAATAACTCTATCACAAGCCCTTTTTTAAAAAAAATACGATTTCCAAAGAGCAAATAATTCTTTAATTAATGTATCTAATTCTTTCGATAGCACTTTATAAGCCTTAATTAAATTTCTGAAAGTTTGCTAAATGCCGAAGAAAGTTTCATGAATAAATAAAAATAAATCGTGGATATATATAAATCATTTTCTTAATAAACAAATAATCTAAAACCAGTTTCTAAAAATGAATACAAAATGAAATGATTCAAAGAACTGGTACATTTGTGTTTTGAAATTATAAAAAAATCAATCATTAAAACAATCATATCATTTTAAGTATAATGAATTATAACAAAAAAATATAATTAGTTAAATAAATAAATTAGAAACTAATAAACAACATCTAGAAACAGATAATTAAAAACATCCATTGAATTTTTTTTTAATTTATAAGAAAAACATGAAAAATATTAATGAAAATTAAATTCAAAATGAGATTATAAATACACCTTTTAAAAAAATGAGTTAACTTTCTGAAATAAAAATACTCAAAACTTCAAACTTGAGTGCCACAATTTAAAAAGTTACAAAAAAGGTATCAAAAATTTATTAGTTGTAAACCAGGTATCAAAAACATTGAATTGAACATCAAAAGGGGTAATTAGATTTCAATTATAGAAACTAAATTAAGCATATTTTAAAATTAAATGTACCATGGGAAAAAAGGATTTTTACTTTTCTCAAATCCGAAACTGAAATATAAATGCTGCGTTGCTTTTTATTTTAACTCATAGAAAAAAATAGAAAAATTAACTAATCAGGCCCTTAAGTATTTGAATTATTTATTTTCAAAATTATTCATAAACTCGCGAATCTTATTTTTGAAAATCAAATAACTTAAGAGCCAAAGAAATACAAAATATCCAAATAAACAATCAGTAGCTATTTATTTTCCAGATGGAAATTCAAAGATAAAAGCGGTTCCTTTTAATCTTTTGAAACTCCACTTAAATTCCTTTGAAATTTTTGAATAACGAAAATATTACTAAGCGTTCTTTTTTAAGAAAACCCATCTCAAAAATGTTTCATTAAGAAAATGTGTAAACTTTCGGAGATGCGACAAATAATAGTCATTCAGAAATTCAGACGTACTTCTCGAGAAAAACAATGAATAATACGTGGACTTCAAATTCAGAAATAATAAAAAGTTAAAGAAAGAAAATTTTCGGAAGACGAAAAAAATCAGTTCTGAATTCATTGCTTCAAATAAAGAAACCCTTACTTCAACCTTTCACATTCTTTGAATAGTAATGATCATTTTGTTTCTTCCGATTGTAGCAGAATGAGAATTTTTCTCTATCGCTGAATACAGACTTAGAAAATAAGGGAGCATTTATGCTTTTTTTTTCTCTGTCTGTCGGATAAAGTCTCTTCTTTTTGATTTTTTTTTCAATTCAGTTTCGATTGAACCTCTTATTTTCTGCTCAGTAATCAGAATTTGAAGATAGGCTTTGTTTAGGCGAGGGAAGATATTTTTAAGATGAGCCTTTTAACTTGCAAATGGAATAATATTTCTCATTGCCTTTCTTGAGAAGTTTTCACGTCCAGTGAATTTGTTTCTCTGCTTCATTTTTTTCAAACAAAATATTATATATACGATGGGCCTAGAGGAGAAATGCTTATATTTGCCCCGAAGAAATGTCTTAAGATTTTGAAAGCTTTCATTTTGAAACAAAATTGGTGAATCAGAGTACAGTTCTTTGAAGAAGAAAAATACGATGCATGTTGAGTTACATTGTTTATTTATTCAAAAAAATCTATTACATCATTTATATTCTAAATAGTTCTTGAATGGATAGGATTAACATTTTAAAAAGTTAAAACTATTGATTAAAAATGGAACTTTTAATTTTGTGCTACTAATGGCGTCGCTTTTAGGTGTAAATAAACTTTAATTTCTCAAATAAAATGCAATTGGGTAAATCTAAAAAAAAATATAATTTTATGTACAAAATTTGAGTACATGTTTTATAGGGAAAGGGAGATATTTTTAAGATAGGCTTTTTAACTTGCTCACGAAATAACATTTCTCATTGCTTTTCTTGAGATATTTTTATGTCCAGTGATTTTATATCTGAACTACATTTTTTCTCACAAAAAAAAGACGAGGAATAGCTATGTTTGCCCCAAGGAAATGCATTAAAAATGTGAAAGCTTTCATTTTGAAATGAACTTAAATTAAATACGATGAAAAAATTAAATACGATGAATACTTAACGATATATTATTTATATTATTTCTTTCATTTTACGTTTCTTTCTATTTTTCTTTCTTTTTATCTTTCTTTTTTTATCTTTCTTTATTTATTTTTTTCAAGAAAGCTATTATATTATTAATATTCCAGATAGTTTTTGAAAGTATAGGATTAGCATTAAAATACAAAATTTATAAATTAAATACACAATTTTGAATTTTGTTTTATCTCTTCTAAGTAAAAAGAACTAACAATAAATTTGATTTTCTGAAAGAAAATGAAATTGAAAAAAGACAAAAAAAACAAACAGTTAATAGTTACACGTGCTTGGAAGCTGAAAATAGTCCCTTTTTGAAGAGAGAAAATATTGTTAAGATGATTTTTTAAACTTGCAAATGCAATAATATTTATCATTGCTTTTCTTAACAAGATTTAACGTCCTCTAACGTCTTCATTACTTTAAACAAACTATGATATTCACGATGTGCTTAGATAGGAAAGGCTTAAATTTTCCACAAACAATTTCTCGAGATTATAAAAGCCTTTATTTAATTATTAAATTATTGAATCTGAGCGCTGTTCTGAGCAGAAATAAATGAAAAACATGTTCAAAAATGCTTTATTTTTAAAATAAACTATTATATCTTTAAAACTTTTAATACTTTTGTAAGTACTAATTCTGACAATTGATTTGCGTTTATGACTACAATAATTTGCTTTTAATGCGAAAAAAATTGAAACTTTTTATGAGTAAATATGTGAAAAGAAAGAAAATATGATAAAATTAGTAAATATGATAAAATTCGTGTTCATCAATCTATTAGTTTTAATGCAGTTAATATAATGAATGTTAGAAGATGAATAAGCTACATTTTCAAAGTTGTGTGATTTTTAAAACAGAATATCAGTAATTTTAAGTTATCAATGTCATATGACATATTATTTAAAAATATTTGTATCAGTTTTTTCTGAAAAATTAAAAAAAGGTGATTAAATATAGTATTTTTGAATTTATTGTATTAATGATGTTTGTCCTAAATATAAAAACAACTACTTTCTTAATGAAATGTAACTGATTAATAGTATAATTAGAGATATTAGTATAAATATTTCACCTCACACAAGATATTCCTCATATTAAGAAGTAAAATAAATAACTTTCTTTTGTATTTCAAAACCCTTAAATATTTCAGGTAAAATATTTTGGTAAGTTCATTAAAAACAATTCTTTTCTTTTGAGAAATGTTTTGAATTTTAAAGAGCAAATTTCTTTGCATTTTTCAACAGTTTATTGTGTCTCATTATGCATCATAACTGCAATAGTTGCAATCATAATCGGTGCAAATTTTTTTATTTGGTTTAATATATATATATATATATATATATATATGTAGCAAAATAAATAAATACAAAAAAAACGCGAAGAAAATTACGAAAAACAATAAGTTTCACTTGTTGCGCATAAGTTGCAAGTAAATAGAACTCATAAGATAAGTTCAAAATGAAGATATATTTTCCAGTTTTTTAAAAAAAAATTTATCCCTTTTTTTTCCTCTCCAGCTGCTTGTTATTTTTTTTTGATAATTATTTTTCTTTTTCCGCTTATTTACATATGTCTGTAATTTTCCTTTTTTTATCTTCATTTTGAACTTATTTAAATTAATTACGAAATTTAAATTAATTACGAAACTAGTGATTTACAATTTTAAAAAAAAAATCGTTCAGAACTGCTCAATATATGTATTTAAGTTAATTCTTTTATACAATGGATGTGCAGAAAAAATTAAAAAAGGTTTTTCATCATTTTGTTGAGATTCGTATTTGGAAACTAACTATAAAAGCTTTATTCGTATATCTTAACAATTTAAGAAGTTAACGATAAGTGGTTAAGTGGATATTTGTGGATAACGGTTTATCCACAAATATCATCTGGTACTATTAAACAAGATTTATTAAAAATGAGACCGGCATTGTGAGGTATCACCCCCATAAATGTTTGTTTTCTTTTGCATGTTTACTTTCTGTATGTCACCAAAGTTTAGTTTCCAGACGATTATTGTAAGGTATTATCATTTGTTATTAATTTTGTGGTATGATAAAAAATAAAATTTGTGAAAAACCCATGACCATTTTAAGCTCTTTTTTTCTAAAAGTATAAAAACTAGTTAGAAATATGCTTCTAATTTTTAAATTTTTCAGATATTCAAATCAAATTTTTTTCAGTATTTGCTAAATACCATTCACTACAAAATTATGAATAAACTTTTAAATTTTTTTTCAGTGCTGCACATGCACTAGTTTAAATATATTATAAAAGCACTAGCTAATATAATCATAACGTTTGTAGTTTTAAATGAGTTTTTTCATTTCTTATAAAGCAGTACATATTTAAAAC